TGGACAGCTACTTTATATCGCCCTGCATTGTGTTCTGACTGGCGTACAGGCTCGAGAATGGAACCCATTCACAACTCAGAATCATAGAATCCCTACAGTGTAGAAGCAGGCCATTCAGCCCATCAAGTCCCTGCAAAGAGCATCCCACCTAGACCCATCCACTCCCCGTAACTCTACATTTACCATAGCCAATCCACTCTAACCTGCACATCTTTGGACTGTGGGAGGAAACTGGAGCACTCGGAGGAAACCCACACAGACATGGGGCGACGGTCTGTGAGAATTTTGCATACAGTTGCTCGAATAAAACCCGGGTCCCTGGCACTGAGGCAGCAGTGCTAACCACTGAGCTACCGTGCCACCCAGGGTCTGGCTGTACTGCCAAATATTGAACCACATGACTTTTTGGAACGAAAGCTGGAAAATGGATGTTTTGAGAAATTTACTGTCTGACATTTTGGAATTTGAAGGTCAGCGTTGTGCTTTACTCATTATTTACAAAAGATCATGTGAATTGGCCATGGCTGATCTTAGGCTTCAACTTCCACCTTCCTGCCTACTCCCAATATCCCTTGATTCCAAGGCAAATAACCTATTTATTCCAGCCTTCACTTACTAACGTCACTGAGAGCCCCATGCACGCTGCCCTGGTTGGATTTCTCACTCACATTCACCTTTCAAAACTCATCTCAATCCTTCGATATTGCTGTTTCTTTAAACTCTAAAGAGGAGCTGACTTCTTGGTAAATCTCCTCAGATCAGTTTATGCTGTAGGGTGATTACAATCTTCCATCAACTGAGTGAGATCCATTTGTTACTGAAGGTGTATTTAACACATGACGTATGTGAGATGATTAGGAGTGAACATTATTGATACAGGACAAGATAAGTGCATTTCTACATGGTGCATTGTAAAGAGACTTCTACTGCAAGCACAGTCACGTCTTTTACATCAAGTTAGGAGAAAAAGCAAGACACTAAATTCCCCAGTAGTTTGAGATGGAACATCAGATATGTCTCTAGCACTTTTTCACCGTAACTTGAGTCAGATTGATATTTGCATACGTTAAGCTAAACCACACAAGCTCTGAGCTCTTTGCAGCCAGACAGATCACCGTGGATTGAGAGATAAGCAGATGATATTGCTGCAGCACTCAAGCACCTTCACACAGCAGATTTATTTGGATATTTTAAAAAAGGGCCCATTGTGCCCAGCTCAATAAAGCAATGTTTACCTGGATTTCCAACTAATCCAGCTATTCTTACACACCCACTGGTGGGCATCGTACATCCAACCCTCTGCAAACTTGACGCTATCCAAAAACCCCACTGCCTGTGTCCTAACTTGCCCCAAGTCCCATTCACCCATCACCTCATTAATCTCCCTTAACCTCAAGAAAGACCTATTGCAAACTTCTCAATCTTGTTTCCGAGTCTGCCCTTGGCCCCCTTCCTCCTCCTCTCAAACATCAGACAGTGGCCCAGACAAGAAGGCAGCTCCAATGACACTCAAGAAACTTAACACCATCCAGGACAAAGCAGCCCCCACATTCACTCTCTCCACCACCGACGCTCAGCAGCAGCAATGAGTACGAACTACAAGATGCACTGCAGCAATTCATCCAAGATCCTCAGACAGCACCTTCCAAACCCATGACCACTTCCATCTAGAAGGACACAGGCATCAGATGCATGGGAACACCACCGCCTGCAAGCTCCCCTCCAAGCCGCTCACCATCCTGTCTTGTCACCACTCCTTCACGGTCAGTGGGGCAAATTCCTGGACTTCCCTCCCTGAGGGCATTGTGGGTCAACCCACAGCAGGTGGACTGCAGCGATTTTAAGGCAGCAGCTCACCACCTTCAAAAGGGGCAATTAGGGATGGGCAATGCTGGCGAGCCCATGTCCTAGGAGTGTATTTTTAAACAAAAGCAAAACGCAGTGGATGCTGGAAATCTGAACTGAGCCGAGTTTCTGCAGCATTTTCTGTAGGTCTGGCAACATCCGAGGAGAGAAACAGAGTTAACGTTTCAAGCCCAGTATAGCTCTTCAGTCGATGAAGTCATATCAGACTCGAAACCCTGTGTTTCTCTCTTCACAGAAACTGCGCGACCCATTGAGTTTCCTCCAACATTCTCCGTCCTCCCCATCTCTCTAATTTCCGGCAGAGCCGCCACTCTGGAAAATCAGGGTCCCCACCAAACCTGGCATTTAGTGTTATTCCTGATTCCTCCATCATGGGTGGTTTCATGTGCCTGGGCCCCAATTGCTGGAACTCCCTCCCAGCACTTCTGCGTCTTCCTGCTTTGCCTTCTTCCTTTCAAATGTTCCTCAAGAGCCAAGTCACTGACCACATTTTGGGAGATCGGATATGGATTACGTGGCTCAGAGTCTAATTTGCGTTGGAGAACTGCTGTGAAGCAGTCAGTCCGTCTAGAAGGACAAGGACAGCAGATACATGGGAACACCATCACCTGCAAGTTCCCCTCCAAACCATTTGTACATTAAAGGCGCTGTGTTAATAGAAGTTGTTGTTGAGGTGGGGGGTGGGGGTCTAGAGAATTAGTCAGCGGCATCACATCTCCTCCCCTATTCCCAGGGTATCAGATGGCCGTTTCCTGTCTGTTGCAGGACAATGGAACAAGCCAGGTGACATTGCCCATTTAATTTTTTTTTTTTTTTTTACAATGGATTTGTTTTGCGGTCATGTATTGTTTCACTGACGAGCCTGGCTGGGACGGGTCATGGGAAGGTGTGGGTGTTTAGGATTTCATTTGGTCAACAAGTTCACGGAGGCTTGTAACAGAAATGAAAAGCATAAACAAAGTGGTTTGCAATAAAGAAATTCAGACAGGCTTTAACTTCCTCCTCCCAAGCACAGACCGAGAGCCTGTCTCTGCACATCGATAGAACACCCTAAGATACAGAAGCAGAAACATGCCATTCAGCCCATTGAGTCTACTCTTCAAATGCAGTCATGGCTGATCTGATAATCCTCGACTCCACTTTCCTGCATTTTCCCCATAATCGTTGAATCCCTGATGGAGAGATTTGGAATCAATTGCAGCCTTGAATACAAGTGATGACCCAGTGGCAAGAATTCCATGGATTTACTCCCCTCAGAGAAGATATTCCTCCTCATGGTTACATACTTTATGGCTTCAGGAACTTTTCAACGGATGGAGCAGAGGTCCCAGGATGCATGAACCATCTCGACAGCAACCACGTGCATTGACATAGCAGCCTTAAAACAGTGCAATGTTCCAAGGTGCTTCACACAAATATCTTCAAATGAATTCCAACTCCTAATCTGCAGTTCAGCACCAAAATCTCCCGGCAGTCAAATCATTATCTGCCTCAGATTCCCCATCTTCCTGAATATCTGGGATGTCAAAAGACAAGTTTCACATCACCTGCTCCGCACGTTTAGAACTCCCTTCCTTCTGCTATAATAAAAGCTGAACAGCTACCTGAAAGAAGGGGACTCCATAGCACACCTCAGTGAAAGGACTATTGTTACTGGCCATGAGCTGGATTTGATCAAGGGTTTTTTTTCTCACTATGTTCAGAGGAACAGAAAGACCATCCTGTGTGGAACAAAAGCACCTTCAAAAGTTTGAGATTTGGGCCTGTAAACAGGGCTAACAAGTTAAGGTTCTTGCGAAGATTTGTAGCCCAGGTTGTGGATAAGGTCGTTGGTTTGTTTGCCGAGCTGGCTGGTAATCGTATTTACGTTTCGTCACCACGCTAGGTAACATCATCAGTGCGGCCTCCGATGAAGCGATGTCATTCTACTCCAATTGGTATTTATATGATCCGGTCTGTGAAGCAGGGTTGTGCCATTTCTGGTTCTGTTCTGCATGATGTTACCTAGGATGACGATGAAATGTCTGTATGATAACCAGCCAGCTCAGCGAGCAAGCCAACAACCTCATGGCTAACAATGTTGACCTCTTCTTTGTTCAAAGATTATGAACACATTGGTCAAAGCTTTGAAATATCCCAACAACATCTTTTCATACACATCACAGTCATACTCAGATGCTCCAATGGGAGACCCACAATATCGTTTTTAGATCTACTTTCCTTGTCTACTGGAGAGGCCAACTCTCCAGGACTGCCCAGAAATTAAGATAGTCCACTCCAGACACCACAATGAGAAAAAGGTAAGTAATAGAACAAAAATGGAACTTATACGCTCAAAATTAAGTCACAAAATTGTCTGTCTCCAGAGTTACAATTCGGTTATGGCCAGAGTTGAAGCCTAATTCTAGAGTGGATCAAACCCACTTTCATCTCTGGCATTTTTCTAAAACCAAGTTAGACAATGAACTGATATTGCATATTTAGCATCAGTTAAAAGCAAAACTAGTTAGTGATGCTCCGTTGCCAATTAACTCATTTGGCTTGTATGCAGCTGGCAATTATTCATTACCTCATATCTGGATGGGTACATGAATAGGAAAGGTTTAGAGGGATATGGGCCAAAAGTAGGTAATTGGGACTAGTTTGATGAGAAACTTGGTCAGTATGGACAAGTTGGACCAAAGGGTCTGTTCCCATGCTGTATGGTTAATAGGAGAACAAGGCGTTTTATTACCCAATTAGCTTCTGGATATGCATATCGGTTGTAACGTTAGAGACGGAGATGTTTGAATGACCAATGTAGTCGGAGGCTATATGCCACAGAATGAAGCCTCTAGAATTCAAAATTGGTCTATCTTAACCTCAAATGTATGTAATGGCCTAATTGCAAGAATTCCACAGATTCACTCCCCTCAGAGAGAAGAAATTCCTCCTCATGGTTACAGGCAGTTGGCAACTGATGGGGCACAGAAGCTCCAGGACGCAGTGACCATCTGGACAACGCCATTTCAATAGCACCCTTACAACAGTTAAATGTTCCAAGGTGCTTCACACCTTTGTCAAGTTGCCCAGTTCTGGATGCAGTGGGATCTCTGTCTGTACCACACGCCCACTTCCCCCAGTCAGTCTCTTACCTTCCCGAGTGGATGTGGGCCGTCTACGGTTTTCCCATCATCATCAGGACCCCAGCTGTGGGAAGGAAAGAAGAAAAAGGAGGTATGAGAGGGACTGACCAAAGAGCAGAGATGGACTGTTGGATAACTGACCCCATGCGCCAATGGCTAGGATAGGCCCAACATCGGGGCAGGAGGGAACTGAAACCCATGAAATTATCACTAAATCTGTGCCTTTACAACTTTTCAATCAATTAGAAAGGCAGGCAGGGAGATGGAAGTTTTCCCAGTGTATCATCCTTTCAAAACATGTCGGGAAATTTACTTTCTGGGAATACGAATTCCAGGAGTTTTACAGAAAAGCTTTTAAAAAAAACAAACACAAACTGGCAGCTACAGGATCCAGCTTGAGTGGTTGGGATACAGAAGGAAAAGACATTCTGCTCTGGCAGATTCTAAACATTGAAATAGAGCTCTCCTGCTCAAAGCGGATGCGACAATCTGGAAAATTTGACTGATTTCATATTTAGTCAAGCTCTCATTTGGAGATATGCTGAGAACACCCAGTGGCGCTGTCCTTGTATGGATAATGGGTGAAAAGAGATTTGGGGCTGTTTTTATTTATTTGGATTCCTTCCCCCTCAGCCTTATATAAAACCATAAATAACGTAGGATCAGAAAAGGAGGCCATTCAGCCCATGAAGCCTTCTGCACCATTCAATGAGATCATGGCTGCTACCAGTCTGTTCTGGGACATGACTGGCCATTTGACCCGAATGGTCCAGAGATGAGAGTTCAAATCCCATTAGAGCAACTTGAGGGAATCTAAATTTCAGTAAATCTCCATTAGAAAGCTAGTCTCAATTGTGAAAACAAAACTACTAGAGTGCTTGTGGTTTAAAAAAAAAAAAAAAATCTGATTCTGGAATTAGGAGTCTAATGATGACCGTGAATCCATTGTCAGAAAAGCCCTATCTGGTTCACTAATGTCCTTTAGGGAAGGAAATCTGCTAACCTTACCTGGTCTGGCCTACACATGATTCCAGACCCAAAGGAAAATAGATGATTCTGAACTGCCTTCAGGGCAACTAAGGATGAACAACAAATGTTGGCCTAACCAGCGACATCTTCATCCCAGAGATTGAGTAAAAACAAACTTAAAAAGGGAAAGAACACAGCAGGGAGAACGCAAAACGTAGGTAAGGTGAGGCTTAATGTACCAAGAGGGAGAAATGAATTGAAGGAGATGGCTATAGGGTCGGATGGGGAAGAGCAGGAGGAGCAAAAATAGCACGGACTGTTTAAAAACAGAAAAAGGTTAGACATGCTCCACATGTCAAGCATCAGGAGTGGAGGGCGAAATGAGTGTGAGTGTTTCAGATCAGTGCCCGTTTATCAGAGCCTGGTTTCTCTCCGCACATGATGTGGAGGTGCCGCTGTTGGACAGCGGTGAGCAAAGTCAGAAATCACACAACACCAGTTTATAGTCCAACAGGGTTATTTGAAAACATCAGCTTTCGGAGCGACGAAGGAGCGGTGCTCGGAAAGCTCATGATGTCAAATAAACCTGTAGGACTATAACCTGGTGTCGTGCGACTTCTAACTCTCTTCTGACACTACCTGACCTGCTCAGCAATTCTGCAGGATTCTGCAAATGCAGCAAAACAATCAGGCCCAGCAGCAAACTGTACATCATTCGTAAGTCAACTGTCATGCACACTGTCTGAGCCAAAAAAATAAACAAACCGTCTTTTGGAAGAATTTACAACCCACTTAGGGAAAGACAAAAGCACTTGGAGTTTACTTTATCTGGAGGGTTGATGGTAAAGGAAATGGATGAAAATTGAATGGTGTTCAAGTTTCACTCTCATGGCCCACACTGTCAATTTGTTTGAAGCTTGTGTATCTCCTACAGTGATTGCAGAGGGCTTGTGTCATCCAGACACAGGGGCTGCTGGATACAAGTCTGAATTTATTACTGTTTGTGGCCCAGAACATTCTAGTACATTGTTTTGTTTTAAAAAATGCACAATGACCTCTGTTTAAACTGCAATGCTCAGGGTTACAAGACTTGTTTCCACAGTTTAGCTAAAATTGGAAGGGCTGGCTATGTAACAAGTTCACTGCATGTAATTTAGTGCTCAATGTGTAATTTTACATTTCAGAGTAAAGTGTCACAACAAACAAAGACACTACTCCCTGTGCTCATGGTTGTCTCACTAACTCACTCCCGAGATCTTTTTGAGTCAGGACATAAATATCAAATATATATAACGCTTTGTGCGTGGTTAATGTGATCGGCTGTAACAGGTAAATCATTTCGTTTAAAGCACGGTGGCTCAGAGGTTAGCACTGCTCTCTCAGAGCGCCAGGGACCCAGATTCAATTCCACCCTCGGGCGACTGTCTGTGCAAACTCCCTGTGTCTGTGTGGGTTTCCTCTGGGTGCTCCAGTTTCCTCCTGCAGTCCAAAGATGTGCAGGTTAGGTGAATTGGCCATGCTAAATTGCCTGTAGTGTTCAGGGATATGCAGGTTAGATGGGTTAGCCATGGGAAACGCAGGGTTACAGGGATAGGGTAGAGGAGAGTGGGTCTGCTCTATTGGGGGGATTGGGACAGTGTGGACTCAATAGGCCAAATGGCTTGCTTCCACACTGTAGGGATACTATGATTTAGAACTCAAATTGCACTAATGTATTAAATTAGTGATATCAATTTGCCAGCTTTGCATTTGGAATGTTAGTCATGTATGGCTGGACTATTGCAGTCCATACCATACAGCTCCTTTCCCCTTACAGCACCTTACCTGTGCACCTCCAGCATACATGACAGCCCCTTCCACTCCAACTATATTACAGCACTGTGCCTGTGCACCTTTGTTACATTACAGCCACACCTACCCCAGGAATATTACAGCACCATTTCCCTGCACTTCCAGCACAATACAGCCCTACCTACTTATATATTACAGCATCCGATCCCCCACCCCCACACACTTCCAGTATTACAACCCCTCTCCGCCCCGCCAAGGGATATTACAGCAAAGCCCTGTAACCACAGATAATTACCTGTCCCTTGCGCCCAGCTCCATTACAGACACCTCCCAACCACGTATCCCAGATATATTACCACCCCCACCCCCATCCCCACCCTGTTACCTTTCCCCTTCCCCACGTGGGACGCTCACCTGCAGCTGTAAATATCATTGATCTGAAAGTGCTTGTTAAATGCAATTGCCTCCATACTGTCAGTCAGGGGTCCATCCAGCACTCTGATACCTGGCACAGGACAACAGGAGACGCCATCAGTGACAAAGAACTGAAGGAAGGCAAACGTGAGAAGGTGGGGGTAGGGGAGAGAGGGAAGATGGGTGGTGGGGGGGGTGGTGGCAGGAAGTTTGCAAAGACCATGGGTTCTCTCGAGAAGAGAGATTTAAACTTTTTCTCTGAAAGCAGCAGGGAGTGCTGTTCTGGGAGGTGGCGGGGGGAGGGGGAGGGGAAGAGGGTGGTGGGGAGATGGTGTTGGTCGTTCCTTATAATTTGGACGCAGCCCCAAGGAGCCAGGTGACAGGAACTGAGACACAGACACAATTTGTTTTTAAGACAGAGTTTCTGATGGTTTTGCTTGTCTCAGAGACAGGGCCGAGCATTGAGGGGTGGTGGTGGGTGGATCATTCCCGCTCACCAATACAACAACAACACCCCCTACTTCCTCAGGAGGCTAAGGAAATTCCACATGCCTGTGAAGACTCCTACCAATTTTATATAGACACACTACAGAAAGCATTCTATCCAGATAGATCATAGTTTGGTATGGCAACTGCTCTGCCCGGTACTGTAAGAAACAACAGAATTGTGAACATAGCCCACTCCCCACACAAGCCAACCTTCCATCCATTGACTCCATCTATACTTCTCACTGCCAATATCAAAGACCCTTCCCACCTGGGTTCTAATCTCATCCAACCTCTGTCGGCCAAAAGGCATAAAACACTTAAAACACACATACCAACAGATTCAAGATCTGCTTGGTCCCTGCTGTTATTAGATCTCTGAACGGACCCCTCAAATTCCAAACTTAATGTTGACCTTGCTGTTTGTGTGCCTTCCCCACAGCTGTAACATTGCATTCCTTGCCCTGTTCTGGTACCCTAATGCACTTTGTATGGTATCAGCCTGTACTGCACACAATACCTAGGTATGTGACAATAATAAATCCAATAAAAAAAACTATTGGGTGAAGGGGAAACAGGTACTAAACAACAAACCTCAAGATCCACCAACTCAAAGAAGTTCAATCAGGTCCAGAGACCCAGACAGGAAAAGCCTCAAGTTGGTAAGAGAATATTAGATGGACAGTGACCTTTTGCATTAAAAAGAAGGGAGAACAAAGTCTCTCACAAAACAGAAATTAGGAACGTTCCAATAGCTCCAACTCCGTGGTTTCCTGAGATAACAAGGTGTAGAGCTGGAT